ATCACTGATTGCAAAGTGGAGGATGTGAAAAAAAAAGTGGCGGGTGAGTCTTCCATTTATGACCGGGCCTATGATTCTCAACCTATATTCTAAATACTGAAAATAGAAACTTGAAGAAAATATCTCTGACCAAATGATGTTTTAATATACCTTATGCAATATTGAATCAGAACTTTCTTTGTAAGATTAGAAAGAGTTTTACAAGGTGTCTACGATTCTACTATTCAATCAATTCATAACTATCTGGTAGATGTAGGTATTATTTTTTCTCCTATTATTCCCTTCATTATTCTCTTCATGATTACTGATTGAGCTCCTGACGTGAAAAGGACTGAACTAGATGCCAGGAGACAAGGTTGGCTAAAAAGATTTCTCTTACTTGAGGTATTTTCCAGACTCCTGGGATGTACTCTAAACACAAAATAGGTCAGGTCATGTCTGGGACCATTCGGACTCCATTAACAACATAGCATAGACTAAGTAGCTTGTAATGAGCAGACATTTCCTGCTCACATTCTAGAAGCTAAAATGCAAATCAGGGTATCAGCATGGTTGGGTTCCGCTGACAGCCCACTTCCTGTTCACATACTGCTGACTTCTCCTGTACTCTCGAATGGCAGGAGGGAATGGATCTATCTCAGGCCTCTGTGATGAGGCCACTAATTCCATTCAGTCAGCCCCATCCTCCCCCCTCATTATTTCCCAAGGGCTGCACCACATGACACCATCATTTTGGGGGTTCAGACTTGAACATATAAAGGTGTGGACATACACATTCAGACCGGAGCAGGTCACCGAAATCCACATGCTTGGCATCTAAAAGAGAGACTATAGCTATGCGTAGGCAATAAAGAAGAATAGGCAAGTTAGAAGGCAAAAACTTCAGATTGTGGACTCAGAATCCAAACTCTTCTTTTTGGCCAGAAGTAATATTCTAATGATACATGCTCAATTTTTGAAAATCAAGAAATGGAGCCCAGTAGCCTACGGAGATGGATGGAAATAACAGAAAGAGTATGATCATTTATCACTCTTTATGAGGGATCTCCAAAGAAGCTCAGGTTTTTGTCAACTCTGTAAAGACAGACCAGAAAGCAATGAGGTCAATTGTCTGGTTGTTGTAAGCTGTGTAAATTGGGAGAGTTTGAGTTTAGACAGCTGCCGCCATATGTGAAACCAGGCTGGTTATTTTTCTATTACGACAAAGTAGGAAGCAAATTAAAGAAGAGGTCATACTTGTGAGTTGAGTATAGTGCTAGGCAAAAGGTGAACATTATGCTGCTGTTCCAACAATATAAATGTCCAGTGCCATATGCATTTTAAAAGATAAAATCTTAGTAGTTTTAGCAAGAAACTCAATAGACATTATTGATATCTATATGAGTAATGTAGAAATATTAGCCATGGTCTATTATAATTATAGGAAAAACGGACATGATGAAACAAAATAATTTGTTCTCTCACAAATGCTTCTAGTAGGAAGAGAAAATCTGAGGAACTGCTTCAGTGAAAATTATTTCATGGCTCATTGCCCTGGGCCTGGTGCCAAACATGACACGGTGAATTTGACAGTGTCCAGTGACTAAAGAGCTGACTTAACAAGGATGGTCTCATGCCTACCATTTAAGGAGTAGGAATCTGGAGGGCTGAGGCAACATAACTTCTCATACAAAATAAAACGACTTTGGGATCAATAATTACTTAATATTTCTGTAGTTCAATCATTTCCAAAAATGGTTTCCTTTTGTTTTAGAAGAATAGACTTCATTTGCAGCTTGAAAGTCCTTCAAGATATTTGAAATTTAAGACAAAAATACAAAGAAAGATTCAACTGGATGATGTTTGGATCATGGATTCTCATTGGGGATAACATTCCTCCCAAGGGTGCAAAAATTAGTTCTCATGAGTGTGAACAAATCTTGGGTATTGCGATGGTTTGTGGTGCTCCAAAGCTCAGCCCTATCCAACAGAATCTGCTTCCTTAGTATTTATTTTTTGGTTTGGGTTTTCTTCTGTATCATATGAGAAGTATTGACACCGACATCAGGGAAGATACACAGAATATATGCAACATCGGTGCTGCAAATCTACGGTGACTTGTTGGCTCATTGGAAGACTTTCCTTCTATCATCTGTTCGATCTCAAAGTCCTCTTGTGAGAGATGGCCTTTGCTTACTTAGGAAATGTTTACGTCAGTGAATAGAAATCATAAATAATGTAAGTGACCAATATGAAACTAGAATAAATGAAGTAACAGATAATAGAAAATGAATCTTGATTATAAATTTGATGGAAAAAAGACTACAATTAGTAAGCAAATGGCTTACCATTAAAATTCACTAGAGAGTGATATTCATTAGAACCGTGAGAACTCACTTTTTAGCATTTATCCTGCTTAACTTTACAATTCTTTTAAGGTCCCGATATAGGCTTCATGAAAATCGTACACATTTGCGGAAACCAAAATCACTATTCATAGTTATCAATGAGACTTCTAAAAAATAAATAGAAGAAACTGGTTCAATCTTTCTACCAAAATGGCCAAAGTATAAGTTTTAAACAACATGCAGAAAAATCACATTAGCCATGAAAAAACAACTATGGAAAAGAAAGAATTTAGTGACTGCATATATTCAGATAAAAAATGTTGACAAAAACCCATAATATAAAACTCAGGGAATCATCTATACCACACAGTACAGGATTTGTCATTGATCTACCTATTGGGCCAGTTGGTATACATCTATATGTGTAATTTTACTTTTTGTTCATTTTATTGTACTGCTATATTTAATGCGAAAACTTCCTCTGCTAGTTCTCTACTGTCGACATAGAAATGCAGTTCCTGTTTTCTTGTGTCTTTGTTTTTTGTAAGGAAAGTAATCTAAAACAATAATCGGTTAATTGGTAATTCGATATTAATTACTTTTAAAATTAATGCTTTTAATAGTAGAAAATAATATTACTTATGTTCCATGCTATGACGAGAAGAATAGGCTAGAAGGCTGTGCACTCTACATGAAGATGTACTTCCACCTAAAACAGAAGATACAAGAGTCACTGTGCTTCTAGGAAGAGGTCTGAATAAATATGATTTGGTCATTCTGTTTATCATTACATTTGCAAAGAGATGAAGTAAGGAAGGGGACCTGAAAATGAACCTCTTTAAGGAAAACAGTCATTGAAACGATTCTCTACCTAACACAGGAAGGGCTCATGTTCAGTCATTATAAAGAATCTTATCCCTGCTTTGTCACAGAATGCATTGAGTTAAATTGTTCAAAATTGTTGTTAGAATATTGGTCATGAAAAAAATAACTTAGGGACATCACTCCTTAAGAGCTAGCTGTATTGATGTTGTGTATGTACCCATATATTGGAGAACTTCCAGTTCAATGTGAAACATTTAACGAGCTTGGAAGTTGTTATTCCCGACCTCACATCAGTACTATAAAAACTGCAGTTGAATTGAAAAACAGTTCCTTTACAGCCATCAGGATTGAGGTCACAGGGCAAGTCCCTGCCCTGATACTGAACAGGAAGTGAAATGCAGAGAATCACATCTGATCTAGAGCAATAGCCTGTACCTGCGGCTGGAATTGGTACAAATACTTCAACTGTAATTTCAGAATTGCTGGAAGTGCATGGATGAACTTGAAAGTGTAAAACTCCAGGGGTCCAGAGTTTGTGGAGCTCCGCCTTTTTTGTGGGACTCATTTTCAGGAACTCCACCAGGTGTTTACTGTGAAGATCAGAAAAAAATATCATGGTCTTCTAGCAGAGGAAGAGAAAATATAGTCATTCTGAAATACTCTGAATATTCTGCCATCCTTAACGAAGGCTTGCCTTCACAGGGAAACTCTTTTACCACAGACTAACCCACCTGTGGGAAGAGAAACACCTAAGTCCAGCCCCCTCTAGCCTTCCCATCTCACCTAATGGAGTGGTGGAAAAAAAGCTGAGGAGCACTTATGAAGGTCACGTTCCAGGAGCACAGGCTCACTAAAGGACTAAGAGTAATCATAGTGTGATAGAACACTTCTGCTCTCCAACAGCAACCACCATATCAGCTGGATTCTTGTCTAACAAAGGGGATCACAACCAACAACACCTGCAAGGGTCAGACTTTATTTAAGAAGGAACATCTAGGGAAACCCAAAGACAACTCGGCTTGAGAAAAAAGCAAGGCCGCAAGAGGAAATTTTAGCCTCTGACACCTACAGTTACAGCAAACAGTAAACACAGCTCAACACCTAGCCAGATGAAGCAAAACTTACCCCTAAGGGTTAATGAACTTCTATTTCTTTTACCTGATACATCATGTCCAGCTTTTAACAAAAACTTACAAGGCATACTAAAAGGTAAGACACATTTGAAGAGACAGAGCAAGCATCAAAACTAGACTCAGATATGGCAGAGATTTTGAGATATCAGACCAGAAATTTAAAATAACTATAATTAACCTGCTAAGGGCTCTAATGTATTTGTATATTGCTTTACCTAATTTATCTATGTGTGCTATTTAAGTTTTGTTCAAATATCAAGTTCATCTTTATAATGTATTCAAATATAATGAAATATGTTCACTTTTACCTTTTATCTATATTTTCTGGTGAAATTTCAGAAATATTTTTGAGAAGTCTTCTTGATTTAGTTTACTCTTAAAATGGAAATAGCCTGAATCAGTAACCCATGCTGAAAAATGCTTGATGAACTCAACTCTCTAATTCCTTTCCCCCCATAATTTACATTTTAAAACTAGATATATCCATGTCAGATGATGTGGTAATTCTGAGGAGATAAAGATAAAAAAGGAAATTCAAAACTTATTCTCTTAGAGCTTTTACATAGAAAAGCTGAAGAGAACAGTAATCATGCTTATTGAATTTCAATTATGTGTCATGTTACAATGAAAGGCAAAGGACAAATAATTCTCTCGCTGGAAGCTGGAATGAAGGATGGGTCGACACAAGAGTGTCCAGACTACAGAATAATTTTATAAGAGTTTATTTGAGCCAACATATCACATACATGACTGAACTCCCAATCTCAACAGATTGAGAAAATGCTATGGAGAATGGCAGTTTTCTAGTCCCTTCTATGCATTTAGAATCAAAGTAGAAAACCTTAGGAAGGTGACTTGAAATCTGTTGGTGGCAGATTAACGAGGCTGGAGAGAGCAAAGGAGAAGAATCTCTAGGATAAAATGTAAACTGCAGACACATGCTTCCTTTACATTGCTTGGTACTGGATAGTCAGCATTTAACGTGTACAGCACAGAGGGATAGGATGGTATGCAGGACCAAGATAACAATGAGGGCTGCCGTGGTCATGTGCCCTGGTGCCTATGGTTGTGCCGTTGAAGGGTGTGGAAAACAAATTACTCTCATATCTCAAAAGTATGTTATCTGAGTGGCTTCAGAAAAATGGACAGGACTCACTTAAGGTCAAGATAGTCCTTTGCTAGGAAAGCGATAGGCCTGGAACGTGACTTCTCACCCTGGCCTGCCCAGAGTTTAGGAGCACACCATCTTGTGTGATTACTTTTCTTCATTGAGCTTGTCAGGACTGCCATGTGGACTCCCCCGACCTCTCACATTTATGAAATAGCCTCCGTTTCATTCACGAATGTCAAGAAAAGGGGAAAAAAGGACGTACACTGTAAAGCGTCTATGAAACATCTGAAGATAGATTTCTCACTGGTAGTTGCATATGTGAATTGGGGACCTCCATCAGTGTGCATCTGGAGATATTAATCTGCAATTGCTTATGCATTTTTGGAAACTGCGGCATGGGAATTGATATCGTTGCTTGTGAGTAGAGTACAGACTGAGAAGATGATCCACAGCTATGACAAAGTTCAACTTTGAAGGCACAAAGGAGAGCCTGCACAGGGCACAGAGATGGAGTAGCCAGGGCACTTAGAATACAGCCAAGGACGAAGAATCTTCAGAATGTATTGAAAAAGAAAACAAAGCACTTGAGAATTTCACAAGATGAAGCTTAGTTATTCTTCACATGTGATATGGTTCTGCACTGAATCTCGATTCTGTCAGGACACATGTGTCATCCAGAGGAATTCACGCAACTTCCTGAGCCTCAGTTTTCTCAAGTGTAAAATGAGGGGGAAATAATCCTAGAGCTGTTGTGAGTATTAAACAAAGTAGAACATTTAAAAGCACTTACCAGGGCACCTTCCACTGAGTGGGGGCTTAGCACATGGTGGCTGCTTTCTTATTGTTTCTTGTAGATCCATGAACTGTCCTATCCCTCTCTCTGTAACTGACTGGAAAACACCGGCAATCTAATAAACAGAATTAGGAAACAGTGGCTCATCAAATCAGTGTAATGTATACATAACAGTATAACATATACACAGTAATATAGTATACAGGTATATATATGTATGTGCATAGCATAAAATGTATATGCTACATATATGATAATGGAGACTATATATCAAATACTACATATCTTAATCTATATCTATATGTAGTGTTCAATTGCTGATTCTGAGAGCTGGCACCTCCTTCCCCTCTGCTTTCCTCGATCCCGTTGTTTCACTGCTATGACTTCCTTCCTCTGCAGTGTAGAAATGTCCAGCGTGCTCTCCTCATTCACTCCTCATGAAGCTCTAACTTCACATTCATACAGCTACTTCCTTTTCCATTAAGGTTTCTGGCTTATGGCAATTTTCCCTGAAGATTATAAATCCACCAATTGAGAGCCAAATTTCAGTGAAAGTTCTGGGTTTCTCAGAAACTCTCATATGAGAGGCATTTTTTTTTTTCTCCTGTGAATGCTGTTGGACAGAGGGAACATCCCTGTTGCAGTAGCTGTAGCTGCAGCAAAAGGGAAATAAAATGTGGGATCCATTTTACTCTGTGGACCATTAAAACATTTACAAAGGAAGAGTGCCACCTCCTTCCAACTGCCCATCTGATCGAGTGAGGAATTTCAGCTCTTTGTGCTGGAGACGTTGAAGGTCTTCTGGATCATCACATGCAGGAAGAGGTGGCCTGTGATTTCTGGACCTGGTAGCCATCCAGCTCCCTCTGATGAAACTTGCAAATCCTCTTGTACCTGAGGCAGAAACCAAGCAAGATTCTCCCTCATTTGGTGCAGAAATGTGAAGGTCCCCTGCTTTGGGAGGCCATGATTCTGGGCCAGGTCACAACTAAGGGTGCAGACAGAGCCGGAGAACATCATTCTCGGTGTCATCAGTGAAGAGGTTCGCGGGCCCCTGGTGAGCTACATCAGACACTGTGTGGGTGGGGGAGCCTTAACTGGCTACTCTGAGCACCTTCTTAGTGGTGACATTCTCAGATAGGCCAGGATTGTCATTTTTTTGTATTTATCCCAATTTTGTTTCCACTTTCCCCCCGAATTTCTCTTCTATTTATGGGCCTCAGAAAATTTCAAAACTTTAGCACTTCTTTTGTTTCATTACAATAGAAATCACATTCACTAGTGGAAAATGACAGGAGTCTCAATCCCATAGGATTGAGACTAAGAGGAGACCAAGGTTGCAATAAACACCCATGTCTCAATCTATCTCTGTTTTTAATTCTAATAATAATACTTAGAGGTTTGGTCCTAGCCTCTATTGCAACACTTTTTTAATTGCACTGAACACAGTAGTGGCCTCACCTCTCTGCCTTTACCTTTGAAGGGGCTAATATATGAGATTTGAATTCTCCGCATTTCTTTACTGAAGCCATAGCTCGTGTTTTCTGACACAGTCTTCACATAAGAGCTGCATAAAAATGAACACTAAGGGTTAACTCATACAGTTTTCTGCTTTCTTTCACCCCAAATGATTTGAGTGTCCATGTGAGACAACGTGCTTCCCAACTTGGATCCTGGAAAAGTAAAAGAAGGATGGTGACTACGATCCAAGGAGCCGGGGAGACACACACTAGAGACAAGATTAGGATGAAGCACCAGCACACTCAGTGTTGTTAAGAGCAAATACTTAGAACCAGTGAAGAAGAGGGACTGGGAGGCAATAGAAAGCTTCACTTTCTGACAAAAGCTGTGCATCCTGAATTTAAATGACATCAGATTTTCATTTCCTCTTCTGAAACACTGAGACAACCTCAGTAGTGGTCACAAAGGAAATTGTGAAGAATAAATCAATAAAATTTAAAAAGGACAGGCTGAGATACTGAATGACAGCTACCTTTGGTATTAGTGTAACACACAATAATCTGAACAGTCCATGTTCAGCCAAGCCAAGGCAAAAGGAGCTTGGAGTGCAGCTCCTGTAACAGTCTCAGGGGTGTGCACATTGAGGTCTTCACAAACAGAAACTCTGGGAGAAGAGACTCTCTGTAGGGTTATGAAGGAACAGAGCCCCAATTTCCACTCTTAGCACAGTGCCTGGCACATTCGTGAGACAAAACTTCCAGCACACTTGAAGCTCTTTGCAGAGAACCAGCATGGAGGAGAGTAGTCTGACAGAAAATATGGCTCTTTTGTGAATCGTAAATATGAGTAAATTAATCCCTTCCCTCGTCTCTACATTCAAATTCCCTGTGGTGATATTATGTTAAGTATAGATTAAATTAAAAAGTTTAAAAGCCAGGAAAAGGATAAAAAGAAAAAAAAAAGTGTAGAGGCCAGTTTGATGATGGGAAATGAGACATTCCCAGATTTGCAGTCACTGACTATCACAACAGTCTAATTCAAAAGCTATTTCTTGGATTAGTATTGGGGTAAAGTAAAGAGACTCCTTCTCTCAAGCATAGAATTTCAGAACGCAGCAAATGTTAATGCAAATAGTACTCTAATGCAATACTAGAAAATGAAAATTAATGCTCACACATGTATGATCAAGGAAAGTATGAACACTTTAAAGACAGAAAATGACCTTGCACTTGCAAGTCCTGAGAGTCTTACAAAGGAAGGGGGCAGCATGTGAATCAAATTCGGGCAAATTCCATTCAGTTCATATGAAATTCTGAACACCAAGATTTCATTCCTACAGTTCTCATTCTGTCACAAGAAAATGAAAAACCCTGACCTGCCAGAAAAACCTGTCCTTGAACACAAAACTAAGTTTTCTTTTTAATAATACAGTCTAAGTAGAGTCCTGTGAAAGAAAACGTGAAAGGAAATAAAAATTGGGACTGTCACAGAGACACAAATTGTCAAACATGGCAATTCTCTCAGCTGAAAACAACACATAGAAATAATCTGGAAAGTATTAACGAGTTTGCGTCCATGAAAGCTAAGAAAGGAAAATTAAGTTCTTGTTTAAGTAGAAACAAAACACAGTTGAAATAAAGTTCACTTGAAGCTCTTTGCAGAGAAATAGCGTGGAGAAAAGTAGTCTGACAGAAAATAGGGCTTTTTTGTGAATCGTAAATATGAGTAAAATAATCCTTTCCCTTGTCTCTACATTCAGATTCTCTGTGGTGATATTATGTTAATGCATATATTAAATTAAAAAGTTTCAAGGGCCAGGAAAGCAGTTAAAAAAAAAAAAAGAGGAAGTGGGGGAGGCGAGTTAGATGATGGGAAATGAGACATTCCCAGATTTGCAGTCACTATCACAAGTCTAATTTGAACACTATTTCTTGGATTAGTAGTGGGGTAAATTAAAGAGAGTCCTCTCAAGTACATTATTTCAGAAGGCAGCAAATCTAAGTAATCCAAATAATACTCTAATGCAATACTAGAAAACGAAAATTAATGCTAACACATGTATGATCAACAAAGAATGTATCAACATTTTAAAGACATGAAATGACCTTGCAGTCATTGCATGTCTTACAAAGGAAGGGGGAGTCTTATAAAGGAAGGGGGCACCATGTAAATTAAATTTAGGCAAATTCCGTTCAGTTCATAAAAGGTCCTGAACACCAAAAGTTCATTCGTATAGTTCTCTCATTCTGTCACAAGAAAATGAAAAAGCCTGACCTGCTATAAAACCTGTCAACCGCTTGTACACAAAACTAACTTCTCTTTTTAATAATACAGTCCAAGTGGAGTCCTGTGAAAGACGTTTCGGTAACGTGAAAGGAAATAAAAATTGGGACTGTCACAGAGACACAAGAAATTGTCAAACATGGCAATTCTCTCAGCTGAAAACAACACATAGAAATAATCTGGAAAGTATTAACGAGTTTGCGTCCATGAAAGCTAAGAAAGGAAAATTAAGTTCTTGTTTAAGTAGAAACAAAACACAGTTGAAATAAAGTTCTATGAAGTTTAATAAAATGCTGTTTTAACTGTTTTAACGTGAAAAATATTTTTAAATGTTACCTTTGGTATTTAAACATTCAAAGATTTTAATATTTTGAAAAGTCTAATTAGATGCTGTTTTAATGTTCCCGCTTTTCAGTTTCTCATTACCTCACTCCACCACTTTGCAACGCTGGAAGGTTGAAAATTCACCTCGAAAGTCACAGCGCCACAGCGCAGCGGGGCGTCCGCGTCCCCCCGCCTCGGGCCCCAGGGAGGGCCGCACCCGAGCCCCTGCGACGGTGTCCTCGTCTGCGAATCCGGCGGCATCTCGCCCAGAAACCATCCCGCACCTGATGCGAGGCGTTGTGTTCCGTACCGAAGAAATGTCCCCCGCTGGCCAAGGCAGAGCTCGGTCCGCAGCAGTCAGCGCCGGGGAAACGAAGGCTTCTCACGGACTATTAAAGCGGCACCAAGCTGCCCCATGGCGCTGCGAAAGCCTTTCTCAGGCCCTACCAGCAGGACAGACAGAAAAATCTCCTCCAAGCCTTTGTTTCCTACCCAAGCGTCAGAAAACGCCGCCTGCGCGCCCTCTCGTGGCCCGCTGGGGAACCACGCTTTCCAGGGGCACAGCAATAGAACCATCCTGCTCTTTCGCGGTGCCCGGGCAACGTCTAGAGAATCACCGGCAATCTCAGTGGCCCAGTGCAGTTAGTGGCTGGCGGCTGGAGCGATGCTCAGCTCCATCCTGATTTGCTCTCTTGGTGGAGACGTGCCTTGGATCCATAGCCTAGAAAACAGGAAAATCGTCAGTCTTTTGAGAGAGCTAGAATTATCCCCTCTCACTTCTGCCTGAGTAACAGAACCGACTTCAAATTTCTTTGGGAAAGAGGGAATATCACCGAAATCCAGAACACACAACACACCTGTTTCCACCATCTCGTGCTTCAGCAAATTTTCAGCCTGTTGAACGCAGCGGACAGCCATGCTGCTTGGAACCGCACCCTCCTCTATCAACTACTCTCTAGGCTTCATCACAGCCTGGAAGAGCTGGACCAGACAAACGAGGGAAACCTGGTGTGTCTCTATTTGGGCATACTTGTCTGTAATTACTACCGAGGAATCCATAACTATCTGAAACAAGAGAAGTATGGCACCTTCTTGCGAGGTTGTCAGAGTCAAGATCACAGAGCGCGTTTTTCTCACGTGACAATCCTCAAAGAAAAGTCAAAATGCAGAAGAAAGTTGTACTCGTGACTCTGTTCAATTACATACATTGCGAAGTCTAGAAACAATCTCGACTCACATTTCTGCACCAGCAGAGATATATCTCAACCAAAAATCATGGGGTCATTAAAAAATATATTGTACATCATGAATATGTAGAATTATGCTCAGAGTATAGAACGTAATCTATTTTCTTAAATATATAATATAATTTTTAAATCTGTCTAAAGGTTTTCTTTGTGTGCGTAGGAGTGGTGGGAGGGTATATTTGCCATTTTTAAAGTGTACAATCTAGTCATTTTATGAAAAGTTTTCTCAAGATGGTATTTTTTGTAAAGACGTGTGTCATTTAAGTTAATGCTAGATTTTCTAACTGATGAACAGAAAACTATCCAGAAAATTATCCACACTTTTATCATTATGGGAATTGTCTTCCTTTGTGTAAGAGTCCGATGCAAGCATTCCTGATCAGATGACTCTTCAGGTTGGCTGTCCTGCAAACAGCGTTTCAAGGTCACGGGTCCCTTCTAGTTTGTAACGTTGCCATATTCAACATGTTTTGCCCAATTTGTCTGTGGTACCTGAGTCTATACCACTCAGTTGTAACGGGAACCATTATGGTAGATCACATGGTTTATTTTCAAAACCCAGGACTGTACAGGGCAATATCAGTTATGCTCACATTAGTTTATCTGAATTTATTCTCATGGGTTGCCGAAATGCAAAGTATTTGAGCAATAGACTATTCTAGCGACTAATAGAAGAGGAGACAACTTCAATAAGACCACTTATTATTTTTATGCTATTTGTACCAATGCTCTTTAAGTTGAAAAAAAAAAAAGAAAGGAAAAAGAACCCAGTGTTTTTACTGGACACACTTTATCCTCAACCCCAAAACAAGAATCGAAAGTCTTTTTCCAGAAATTAATTCCTGTGGTAGATGATATGGATGTCACTAGTTAGAGTTCAGAGCATCATTGATCCTTTGAAAGAAGTATTTGGGTTAGTTTTAAAAGGCACTTGAGAATCACTGATTTCAAAGTGGAGGATGAGTCTTCCATTTACGACAAGGTCTATGATTCTCATCCTGATAGTCTATATATTAAATTTAGACACTTGAAGAAAATATCTCTGCAACCAAACAATAGTTTTAAATACCATCTCACACAATATTAATGTCATCATAACTTCCTTTGTAGGATTAGGACGAGTTTACAAGGTATTTCTGATTTACTGTACTCTTGATTCCTGACTATCTAGATTCCTACTATTGCCTTCATGATTCTCTTAATGAATGTTAATTGGCTCCTGAGATGATAGGGACTGGACTAGATGCCTAGACATACATTTGGGTAAAAGGATTTCTCTCTCCTTAGGTATTTTCTTGAGTCCTGGGATGGACTCTAAGCAGAAAATTGGTCAGGTCATGCCTTAGACCATTCAAATTCCATTAACAACATAGCATAGACTGAGTAGCTTGTAAGGAGCAGACATTTCCTGCTCACATTCTAGAGTTAGAAATTCAAATCAGGGTGGCAACAAGATAGGATCCAGTGAGCGCCCGCTTCCTGGTTGCATACCTCTGACTTCTCCTGTATCTTCAAATGGCAGGAAGGGGATGGATCTACCTCAATCTTTTTGATGAGGTCGCTAATTCTATTCAAGAGGCTCCACCCTCACACCCTCATTAATCCCCAAGGACCACACCACATGACACCATCCCTTGGGGCTTGAGACTTCAACATATAAATTAGGTGGGCAGGTATACAGTCAGACCACAGCAGGTCACCAAAATTCACATGTCTGGCATCTCAAAGAGAGACTATAGCCATGCGTAGACAAAAAAGAAGAATAACCAAGTTAGTAGGCAAAAGCTTTAGATTTTGGACTCAGAATCCAAACTCTTGCTTTTTGAGCAGAGGTAATATTTGAATTATACATGCTAAGTTTTTGAAAATCAAGAAATGGAGCCCAATAGCTCACAGAGATGGATGGAAACAACAGAAAGCATATGATCATTTATCAGTCTTTGTGAGGGTTCTCCTAAGAAGCTCAAGTTTTTGCGACTCCGTAAAGATGGACCAGAATGTAATGTGGTCAGTAGTCTGATTGTTGTGAGCTGTGTGAATTGAAAGACTTCGAGTTTAGATAGGTGACTCTTAAGTGACACCCACTGGTTATTTTTCTATTACAACAAAATAGAGGTAAATTAAAGATGATGTCATAAGTGTCAGTTGAATATAGTGCTAGGCAAAAGCTGAACATGATGCTGCTATTTCTGCAACTTAAATGCCCAGAGGCAATATGTACCTTAAAAGAAGTAGAATTTTAGTGGTTTTAGCAATAAAGAAACTAGGCATTATTGACACCTATATGAGTAAAGTGCAAATATTAGGCATGGACTATTAAAATCCAAGCAAGTATGGCCATGGAAGAGCAAAATAGTTTGGTTTTACGGAATCCATTCTAGTAGAAAGTGAAAATCTAAGGACCTGCTTCAGTGAAAATTACTTCATGAGTGATCGCTCTTGGCCTGCTGCCAAGCATGACACAGTGAATCCGACAGAGTACAGTGACTAAAGAGCTGACTTAGCAAGGATGGGTTAAAGGGCTCTAATTTGCATGTTAAACGATTTTTGAGACTTGCCTTTCTCTGTTCCTTCACCACTTGCAGGGGACCATATAGGAGCATGAACAGAAGAATTTTTTCTTTGATTCACCGGCTGTCTTTGTGATTGCCTACCAACTTTCAAATATTATGACTCCTTCCACTATTGGTGCTCTTTCTTTTTTCTTTTTGAGTCTATTCCTTTGTTCCTTCTTTTTTACAGTTTTTTTTTAACATAAAAACAGTTACTTTTTAAAGTAAAAACAGTTACTTTTTACTGTTACCGTTTTGTTTTTGTTATTCATTTATACTCTTGGATGCAAAAGTTTATTAATTGGGTTCGTATTACTGTCACTCTCCAAAAATCTCTATAGCCACGTCCTCTTTCATATCTCACAGTTACTCAATATTCAAAGATGTAAGACTGACCTTCAGGGCTGGATAGCTTGGCGGGGCAACGGGGAATGAGTTTCACTGCCTGAATAACTATCATAGATCCCTCAGAGGAGTGCAATCTTACACACCGAGGCACGAGAAGGGTCCCCCAGTGTCAGTGTTTGAGCTGTGAGGAATCACAGTGCAGCACCAGCTGGAAGTCACCAAGGATTTCAAGCATCACCAATCAGAGCATGTGCGGATGTGGGTGCGCCTGCAACCTCCCTCCCTACACCTGATTCCTGGCTGCAGAGGGCAAGGTCCCCGAAATGGCCAGTCCTGCACAGAAACGCAGTGAAGACTGGGAGCCTGTCCAATTAGTCTACTTTCTTGACTTGGGAACAAATCCGGGAGCTCATCTGTGCCCCTGTTCAGGTGGTTCCATGTCTGATTTCATGAGGAAGATGCTGCAGGACTCACGTTTGCTCCAAGTCAACAGTGCACATCTAGACACCGGAAGAAGATGAAAGTCAGCAGCAGATTGAGGACTTGGAAGGATTACAGAGATGTTTATTGTGTGGACTACAACAGGCAGGCCCTAGGGGATGGAAGGATTCCAATGGGCAGCACCGAGTCAGAGGTTTCTCCAGATCATTCCTATTCAGACGGGAGGAGATCCAAGTGGATTCCCTGAGCACAAAGTTCTCCCACTGAGAGGTGGCCAATAGCAGTGTCCCTGGGTGGTTCTCCCACTGAGAGGTGGCCAATAGCAGTGTCCCCGGGCCACTGATACCACAGCACCTGCTGAGTGTTGGAAGGAATGAGGGTTACTCCAGTGCCAGCTGCAAACTTCAGTTTCCATTGGCAGAAAAATCTACTCCATCATAACTATTTCAAAGGAAGCGTGTCTACTTTCCTTAGCATTTAAAGTCAGTCAGCGAGTGACTCACACCAGACCCCTGCTGCCATACAAATCAGCAGACAACATTCCTTTGGCATTAGAAGTGACGCTCGAAATCCTTTGTCACTGGACCGTCCCTGATCTTCCAATTTCATGCCACGGCCTCTCCATGGATCATAAATCCCAGGTCCATTTCAATCCTTCCTTTCTTTTAACAGGCCCTTCCAGACAAGTCATTATCTCAAATGTCCTGAAGGTTTTGACCTTGGATTTTAGTACCTTCAGAATAATCCATCCATCCAGATTTGTGTTTCTCTCCCAACAGTCCAAATAGAGTTCTTGAAAAGATTCAGTTAATAACTTCAAAGATCTTAGGACATTAACTGGTCCATGTTTAACATGCAATTAATTTATTTTTTAAAATATCATCATCAATATCTTCCTCATGAAGAGCAGATGCTTTTCTTAGTACTTTCTCTTTAATTCTAGATTTCTCAAGGCAATCTTTAAATTAATTGCCTGAGAGGATTTCTTAACTAGATAGACTGCAGGCAAAGGTTACTATTCAGGATCACATCAGAGAGGGTTGTTAGTGTTCTGGCACCTGGGTTCAGGTCGCCATTATCTTGGGAATGGGTTGGTGTGACTCCTCCCTTCTCTGCTCAGAACTGATTTCACATAGATTGATTGAAAGTGTTAAAGTGGAAATTATCCAGTTTCAGGGAGGTGGTATCTCCAGGCGCCCGCTCCCAGGGAGATCATTAACTAAGTTACTGGGAGGTGATATCTCCAGGTGCCAGCCCCAGGAGAAGCGCAACAGTCCAAGCTGCAGATGATAAAACTGTCTACTAGGCCCTGTTTGATCTGAGAGTTCCCCGGATACATTTATCTTTGTACAAAACGTTAACGGCTGACTTCTGCTTCTTGTAATCTGCTTATTCAAGGATGTAGTTGGAGGCTTTATAAGCTGCCTCCTCTGGAAGCTCGGGGCTGATCTCCTCTAACCCTGCGTGGTAGAGAGTCAGTCACAGGCTGGGTAATGAAGGCGCACAAATAAAACAACAG